TCAGCTGAGTGTGGAGCTGGATGAAGGAGGAAGAAAGTGCAAGGACCTGACACTCCTGCAGAATTATTATTACATTTTAACTGCGTAATATAAAGGCAGTGACTCAGGGACTTCTTCTTAGTCACTTTCTCACTTTTAGCAGAATGTTTTATTTACAATGATGTAATTGAGCAATTTTTTTCCTCCCCTAAAAGATGGAATCAGCCATTGTTCTGCCAGAGTTCACTGATCATGCGTCAAACTACAATTGATTGATCTGTTGGAAAGGAGGAGAGGGACCTGACATTTCTCACAGATGTGCAAAAATATTGTGTGTTCAAAAAAAAAAAGATGACAAAGAACAAAGATGGGCAAAGTAGACAAACACTGCACATAAAGAGAAAAAATGCATTAATTTAAAACAAACAAACAACAACAAAAAAAGCGTGCAGGTGTTAATTTTGTGAGTGAATGTGTTTGTGGTTTTTTGTGCTTACACTCGCGCCTGTGTGTTACTCAGCTGGATGTGCAGCCACCTGGCACTTTAGCTGACGTTGTAAGTGTTTTATTTTGACTGGATTTGATCTGCTAAAGCAGAGAGATGTAGCAGGTCGGCTGTGAGTGAAGCCCAGCCCCTCGGCCTTTGCAGTCGCTGGCGTGTCCTTTGAGTTCTTGTTCCTGAAATCAACAGAGTGATTCGTTCATCTGACTGGAAGGAGTCCCAGAAATTTGACGCCCCCCTCCCCTGTCTCCATCTCTTTCTTTCTCTCTTATTTGTGGACACTGGTGTTTCTTTTTTTTTTTTTTTTTGCTAATGGAGAGATTTTTTTCCTTTTTTTTCTCACCACCTCTTCTATTAGATCTTAAGTGGTTGTGTCACAAACAGAGCTGTATATGATAGCGCGTTGTTCAGACACACATTGCTATTTGGGCATCACAACAGGAAAAGCGTGGAGATGACACATGCAGAGTCTCACGGGGAAAGACTCACTACTTTTCCCAGTAACTGTAAAAAGATCCGGCGTCTGAATATGAAGTGGGGTCATGGTGTTACATCAGACAACTTGTCAGCTTTTTGTTTATTCAATGAATCCCTAATCCCCGATGTGCCACGTATACGCTCACACAAACACATCTCTGATGACAACCGCTTCGTTCCGCAGATCTCTGCTACAACACGTAGGAAGAAACGCTTTTGGCGTCATAAAGCACGGGCATGATTCGCTTGACTAGAATTGCTTTTGAACAAAGTGGAGCGCACTGCAGCAGAGGCAGACGAGCGATAGCAAAAACACTTTTTCTGATAAGATAAGGTCCTGGACGCGGATAAGCGTTTGGCTTCCCAAAAAGAAGAGCTGTTCTATGCTGTCAGACAACGATAAGCCGCACTGAACTACGGCCAGGACCTCAGACACTGAGCAGAGAGTTTTTCCCAAACTGACGCCCCGAAATGGTTTCAGGTCACGGTGTTTGTCCCAAACCAACTGAGAGAATCACTAATTCCTGTCTGTCAGGCTTTGTCTACATTTTTTTTATTGACTTTATCAATCTCAAGCTCTTTCTGTTTATTCTATAAATTCATATATTAGTCATGTGCCATGCAAACTTTTTTTTTTCAGTTGTCATAAGGGTAGTACATTGTGTTAGTTTGGTTTCAAACAGGCTTCTTCCATCTGTGAAATTATTTTAATCTTTCTTTGATTTTATACCACAACAGCATCTCATCATCTTATACTATACTGGGTTTAATTCATCTGCAAATCACATTAACTGAGTTTCTGACTTTTAAATAGGTTCAAAAACATTTATTGAAGCAGTGAATTTGCAGATACGATAATTGCATTAATCCCAAAAAGACTGCAGAGAGTTATGTGCTGCGAGTTGTACCTGTCTCCAGGATTTAGGATCTTATTTGAACAGCAGTATTTACTCAGGGAAAGGTTACTATAAATGGACTAAGAGGAAGTGAAGCACAAAGAGCACTTCAGCCCGGCTCAGAGGAAACTCAGACCTGTGTGTGAAAGGGGAAATTTGTGTGGTTTCTTCTTTATAGATGACAGAAATAGGAAACACTAATGTTGAACGTTAATTCTTCACCAGATGCATTTCCTTCAGATTGACACGTTATTCCGTTTTTATTTCCTTTACATCAACCGTAAACCAGAGTTTCTCTACAAACAATATTAAATATGACTGACATTTCATACTGTCGCCTATAGCAGCACTCCAGACGAGGTTGTTTTGTTCCATATAGGAGAAATTTAAAAGAGACGGAACGGGGTAGAGGCAGAACGCCCAGAGAGGGACAGGCCTTAAGATGGAGGTCTTCCTCCCAGGACGTGACAGGCTGTTGGCTGGAGGATGCTCAGGAAGGCCTTGGCAGACCAACAAAGACAGCCCTTCAGCTGCAGGGTGTAGTTTTTCAGGCCCCAGCATCCCCTTTGGCAGCAGCACAGAGAGAGCTGGCGTGCACAGGCCCCCGGCCCGAGAGACAGGGAAGTAAGGCCCGTTCTTTTATTTACTCAGGCTGCTGCTGCTGAGGCCTGGGCATTTCTTGTCTGGGTGAAGAAGGAAAAAAACAAGTCTCTCTCTCTCTCGCTTTCCTCTTGTGGTCTCCTGAGGAACGCTGCTCTTTTCATCTACAGTTATTCACACACTTGTTTTCAACCGCTGTGCTAGAGTCCTGTACATGTGTAGCATGTGTGTGTGTGTGTTTGTATGAATGTGTCACTGGAAATTTAGGGACAACAATATCTGAACCCTCAGGCATATTACATTAATTACAATTTAGTTACTTATTTGTTTATTCAGACTGGAATTAAAACAAAAGATGATAGTGACCGTGTTTATGAGAAAAGCATCTGTGGTTGGTTTACCAAATGGAAATGCACGACAAATCAAAATCAGTCCAAATGACGACACGATCCTCACTTCCACTGTGCACACGCATATTTGCAGCGAAATGTGAATATTACATCAGTTTTTTATCACACAGCAGCTTGTGTAATGTATCACTGAACTAATATTAACAGAGTTGTTTACTCATCGCAACATCTACTCTGCCAGTTGAGCAATGTGTGTGACTCCCACATGTCCCCCACAGATATGTTTTTATGCATTTGTGGTGTTGGAGTGAGGGCGCTAAATAAATAATATATGTATATATCAAATAAGAAACAACAAAACGGAGGATGAATTGGGGTTGTCCTGACAGTTTGGTAATGTCTCAAGGCAAAGACGTCCTCATTTAAGACAGCAGAATTTCATTTAGCCTTGTATGCTAGCCCATTTGTTTGTTTGTTTTATACCATTGTCTCAAAGCCAATAAGTATGACTGTAAGGCATTGGCTGGGGTCATCCTTCTTGCACTGTGTTCTTCTCCTATACCCTGGGAGGCAGCATGAGTGCGGGCAGATCTGCCTCCTCTGTGGAGGAGGGCATAGCATTGAGTCACCCATCCTCCCTCGAACGAACCTGAAAGACAGAGAGAAGAGGAAGATAGAGAGCAAAAACACCGGGACATGTATGAGATACACAGGCAAGGTTTATTCCGTGAGTAAGATGTGTGCGCAGAGCGGGCACCTTGCCAGGGGTGGGAGGTTTCCGCGAGGGTCGCGGTGTGGAGGTGGGCCCTCGATGTGCCGCTTTCAGCAGTTTAGAGGGGCAAGGGAATGGCCTCCGACCCCATCTGTTTCCTGAAGATAGGACCTGATGGGGGTAAGTACTCAGAGAGGGCATGATATCCTGACAAAGGTCAGATCTCCCAGCAAAAACAACAGAAGAGCAGGAGGGAGGGAGGGTCGGAGGGAGACTTAGATTTGTCAGCTGAAGGATTGTACAGAGGTTGGATCCTGGAAAGAGCTCGTGCTTTTCCGTCGTCCCTCTCATAAATCTTTGGAGTTTCCTCTTGTTTTTCCCATTCTAAGTTTTGGCCTTTTGACACAGTTTTTTCTGAAGGGGTTGGAATTACGTTTTTTTTTTATTATTATTATTTAGGTAAGGAAGTCCACAGTACTTAGAATTCAAGTGAGGGAAGAAGTGGCCTGTAACCTTCTGAACTTGTGGAAAGAGTTGTTCTGTTGTTTTTTCATTCATATCACAATAGTAAAAACCAGCGAACAGGGACGTCCACAACAAAGCATCAGAGTACAGAGACATTAAGTCATTGTTCAACAAAACGCGTTTAAAGTGACTAATTTCCACACTCTCTGTTTGTTCTTAACATTGAATATAAGCAGATTGATTGTCCTTCCTCTGTTACCCAACCATTTCCCAAAACAGCACATTTGTCATCCATCCACAGCCGTTTGCCTCAAAGCTTACAGTGTTTAGCTCAATCCACATTGACAAATATGATAATAACACCTTAATCTGATTTTTATTGACTGATGTTCTGAACTTCACCATGTTTCACAAAATAATTTATTCTACACTGGAGCATTTCCACAGGCTACACGAGGCTGTGTTCTGAAATGTACATTTAAATCTATTCTTTCTCTTTTGATAACTTTTTCACCTCAGCTCTTGAGGTGACTTTTAAGACTTTTTTTTTTCAAAATGTATTCTAGTCATTGTTTAGAAATAATAGAAATATTTTAATTTACCTCATGCCAGGCTTACATTTTAAAGTACAGCCATCGCCTTGTGTCGGCTTTAAATGTCAGAGAGCTTGTGCTTTCAGTCACAGTGGGCTCAGTCATTACATGGCCACATGGAAGGTTAATTGTAGAAAAGTATTTTCACTTATTCTCTCCTCTAATTATGCTTGAAGTTGCATATTTAATGTAACTCTTTACATAACACCTAAGGTGAGCTATTGTTTTCCTTAAGAAAGAATGGTCTAAGTTGCACAAAATCCTAATTTCATACACCACAACTCAGTAATTACTATGACAAATAACACCATGGTGGCCCACCTTTTCTTTTTCAAAGTGTAAGACAAATGAGTTGCTAATACTGTCTTACAAAACAGCTCTTTCATACATTCTCCTTTTTTTTCTGTTTCCCTCTCTCCTTTCCAGATGGTGCTGATCTGGAGGATGACCCATCGTGTTCCTGGCCAGCATCATCTCCTTCCAGTAAGGATCAGACTTCTCCAGGACACTGTGAGGACTACGATTATGGTGAAGAGGAAGGGGGCCCTGGTCTGCCGTACCCATGTCAGTTCTGTGACAAATCCTTCAGTCGCTTGAGTTTCCTAAAGCGCCACGAACAGAGTCACGGTGACAAACTCCCTTTCAGCTGTACCTTTTGCAGTCGGCTCTTTAAACACAAGCGCAGCCGAGATCGACACGTGAAGCTCCACACTGGTGATAAGAAGTACCACTGTGGAGAGTGTGACTCGGCCTTCTCTCGCAGTGACCACCTAAAGATCCACATGAAAACCCACGCCTCTAACAAACCCCACAAGTGCCCCGTGTGCCGTCGAGGCTTCCTTTCCTCCAGTTCTCTTCATGGCCACATGCAAGTGCACGAACGGGGCAAAGACGGCAGTAGCTCCAGCCTCTCCAGGGCCGATGATTGGAAGCTGAAAGAGACACGCAAATGCAGTCGTTGTGAGGAAGGTTTTGATGTTCCAGAAGAGCTTCAGAGACACATTTCTGAGTGCCACCCAGAGTGCTCGCCCTCAGAAGACGGTGGATTGGGCGCCACTCTGCAGTGCATCTATTGTCATGAGCCCTTCAGTGATGAAAGCACCTTGCTAACCCACATTGACCAGGCCCACAGCCGGGACAGGAAAGGCCATACCTGTGCTATCTGCTCTGAACACTTTCTCTCTGTTGAAGACCTCTATGCTCACATGGACATTCACCAGCTCCCAGAGTCGAGTAACCACAGTAACAGTCCTTCGATGCTAACAGTGGGCTACACCTCTGTCTCTAGCACTACTCCTGACTCTAACCTCTCCGTTGACAGTTCCACGATGGTGGAGACAGCTCCACCTGTGCCCAAGACAAGGGGCAGGAGAAAGAGGGCTGCTCAGAACTCATCAGACTTAGGAGGACGTTCCTCCAAACAGGCTAAAGTATCCTACAGTTGTATTTACTGTAACAAGCAAGTGTTTTCTAGTTTGGCAGTGCTTCAAATTCACCTACGGACCATGCATCTGGATAAGCCAGAGCAGGCTCATACTTGCCAGTATTGTTTGGAGGTCTTGCCTTCACTGCTTAATCTGAATGAACATCTTAAGCAGGTCCATAATGCGGAGGACCAAGCGGTGCTTTTAGCCAGCTTGCCTGATGCCCTACTCCAGTGCAACTTTTGCCCAGAGGTGCTAAGTGACCTCAATGCACTCCAGGAACACATCCGCTGCTCACATGGATTTCCTAGTCCTGTGGCCAAAGAGAGTAATGCCTTTTTCTGTCCCCAGTGCTTCATGGGATTTTTGACTGAGGCTACCTTGGAGGAGCACGTCCGCCAGACTCACTGTGATGGGGGCAGCTTGCGATTCGACTCTCCCTTGGCTGTAACACCTAAGGAGCCTATAGTAGAAGTGTACTCCTGTTCATACTGTACAAATTCTCCTATATTCAACAGTGTCCTGAAGCTGAACAAGCATATAAAGGAGAATCACAAGAACATTCCACTTGCCCTGAACTATATCAACAACGGAAAGAAATCCCTCCGCACTCTCAGCCCTTCTTCTCCAATATCGGTTGAGACAACCATGATGAAACAGGGCGGCTCAGCTTCTCGTACCTCCAGTGAGTTTATATGTAACCAGTGTGGAGCCAAGTATACAAACTTGGACCTTTTCCAGACTCACCTAAAAACTCACCTGGATGGCCTGCAGCCTCAGCTGACGTGCCCACAGTGCAACAAAGAGTTCCCCAACCAAGAGTCCTTGTTAAAGCACGTGACAATTCACTTTACTATCACCTCCACTTATTACATCTGTGAGAGCTGTGACAAGCAGTTCACGTCGGTGGATGACTTGCAGAAGCACCTCCTGGACATGCATACTTTCGTGTTCTTTCGTTGCACTCTCTGCCAAGAAGTGTTTGACTCAAAAGTGTCCACCCAGCTCCACCTTGCTGTGAAGCACAGCAATGAGAAGAAAGTGTATCGCTGCACCTCCTGCAACTGGGATTTCAGGCATGAGACTGACTTACAGCTACATGTAAAACACAGCCACCTGGAAAACCAGGGCCGTGCCCATCGATGCATTTTTTGCGGCGAATCCTTCGGCACAGAGGTGGAGCTGCAGTGTCACATCACCACCCACAGCAAGAAGTATAACTGTCGCTTCTGCAGCAAGGCCTTCCACGCTATCGTCCTCTTAGAGAAGCACTTAAGAGAGAAGCACTGTGTTTTTGAGGGCAAGGCACAGAATTGTGGTGCTAATGGCTCTACTGCGAGTGGTGGAGAAGGTCAGCCAAAAGAGGATTCTGAAATACAAAGTCTTCTAACAAACAGTCATGGTACAGGGGCAGCAGTAGGTTCTGCAGTGGAGTCCCAGAACAGCCATGATGGAAGTGAGGAAGAGGTGGAAACTGCAGAACCCATGTATGGGTGTGACATCTGCGGTGCATCCTATACAATGGACTCACTCCTGACTAATCATCAGCTGAGAGACCATAATATACGACCTGGAGAGAGTGCAATGATTAAAAGGAAAGCTGAGATGATAAAAGGCAACCACAAGTGCAATGTCTGTTCTCGCACCTTCTTCTCTGAAGCCGGGCTGAGAGAACACATGCAGACCCACCTTGGGCCTGTTAAACATTACATGTGTCCAATATGTGGAGAGCGTTTCCCTTCCTTACTCACCTTGACTGAGCATAAGGTTACTCACAGCAAGAGTTTGGACACAGGAAGCTGCAGAATCTGTAAGATGCCCCTGCAAAGTGAGGAAGACTTTCTGGAGCACTGTCAGATGCACCCAGACCTGAGGAACTCCCTGACAGGTTTCCGCTGTGTTGTCTGCATGCAGACAGTAACCTCCACATTGGAGCTCAAGATCCATGGTACATTTCACATGCAAAAAACAGGTACCATGACTGCAAACCATCCCGTAGGCCGCAACAATGTAATCTCTCATAACCAACATCAACACCATCCTCAGAAAATCTTCAAGTGTGCCTCTTGTCTAAAAGACTTCCGGTCCAAACAAGATCTTGTGAAGCTGGACATCAACGGCCTGCCTTACGGACTCTGTGCATCGTGTGTGGCTGCGGCAGGTTCTAAAAGCTCCAGTCCCACCATGAACGGAGGCAGGCAGCAGCTCCACGGAGGATCCACCACCCCCGCCCCAAATATGGGCACGCGGGGTCAGGGGGAGGGTCTCAGCCCTGGGGAGGGGAAAGGCAAAACTGTCTCTTCATCATCCTCATCCTCCTCCACATCATCCTCCGTTGCCAAGACACGATGCTCCAGCTGCAATGTAAAGTTTGAATCTGAGGCAGAGTTGCAAAATCATGTGCAAACGGTGCATCGAGAACAGGCAGGAGATAGCAACAGTGGGCAGATGAAGACCCCCCAGGTGTCTCCCATGCCAAGGGCCAGTCCATCGCTAACTGAAGAGGTACAGTTGATCAGTGTTGTTTTAAAATCACCGATTGCATTCTTTTTATGTGAAGTTTACCAACAACAATAATCACTTTCCCCTTGGTTCCCTTCTTTTTTTTCAGAAGAAGACGTACCAATGCATCAAATGTCAGATGGTGTTCTACAGTGAATGGGACATTCAAGTACATGTGGCCAACCATATGCTGGGTAGGAGAAAACACTATGACTCATGCCTTATCAGTTTTTTTCAATGTAGTCAGTCACCTGCGCTGCATTAGTATCTCTAAAAAATATATACATATATTCCCACGAAGCATTTCCATGTTGTAGATTATATTGTACTGATATGATTATAATCCGTGGCCATCCACACTGTTATATAAATATCATCCAGTTCTAATATATTTTTTAAGTTTCTAAGTCGAACCAGATAACACATATAACACCATAACTGACTCTGTCTCACTCAGGCTTACAAGTATCTGGATCACATCATCAAATAGGTGGAATTATTTTAATATTTTGATCAACTTCATTCCCTGTGTTGTGATAGAAAACCAACCATCTTCATTTCTCCATGCATGTGAATGACACTGTATCAATATGTATGCATGATTGTGGGACAGCGTCTCGAAAAAAAGAAAAGAAAAACACTGAAAGAGTTAATGCACATTCTAAATGATATCTATACTGTTTGCTTTGCAACTCTATAATTTTTTTTTTGTTTTTTAGCTTTTCTTCTCCAGTCTTGTGGTCAGATTAAGTCTGTATACAGTGTGCGTTGTACATGCACATGGCATTTAATTAAATCCGATCAACTGACAAATTAACATTTGATATAATTTATTCAAAAACAAAGAATTTTTAAATCCCGTTTCACCAGATTTAAAAAACAGTGTTTTACTCTCGCCATGCTTTTAGTCTTCACTTCTTAGTTTTCATTTGTATGCAGGCAGAATAATTTGTTGAACACAGACAATTGGAAACATTTTTTTTTTTGCCTGCAGTAAGTAGGCGTCTGAATTCCGGTCTCACGTTCCTTTATTCATTCATTTATTCAGCTCGTTTGGTGGCTCTTTCATTACATTGCATTATCTGTTGTCTTCAGTGGGAGAGAGACTCATTGATCTGGAACCAAACCGTCTCTCTGTTTGGGACACGCTTCTAGGCGCAGGTGAATTTAAACACGGTGGGCAATTCTATCAGGACTGGTAGGCAATTCTATCAGGGACCCACTGTTTGTGCATAAACAATCAGAGGCATGTGATTTGTGATTTTGATGCTGCAGTGTATTTGCAAAGGAGAGAGACGAGATGAGAGTGTGTAGGTGTGTATTTTGTATTCATCTTCGCGATCTGCTCACCCACTATTCTACTGGGGGTGCCTAATACAGTACCATGCCAGCATTAGTCCTTTCCCTCACGAAGCCAGGCACGGAGCACACTGGGAGGGTAGAAAACAGACCCCCCCTACTGGTTGTTTTATGTCTTTCAATGGAACAAACGCACAGTTTCCTCATAACAGTGGAATTCAGACAGCTTAAGAAAACAGGAGGATAGGTGATTGGGTTATTGTCTGATGTTTTACTTCTCTGATATCTCATGCCTTTGTGTTCAACTTAGGTGTTGTTTTTGTCAGACTGCAAAACTATTTGTTTTTTATTTTTTATGCACTTTGGTCAAATTTGGACAAAACAAATCTTGGCATATTAAAAGCCCATTTTGCAGTATGTACTTCAAAATGTAACTGAATGAAAGAAATATAAATTCAAACATAGAAAGTAGTAGCAGTGCACAGTTCAATCAGTCAGTGTCGCAGCACATTTACTCAGCTTTGGAAAAATTCTGCTTTAATGAAGAAAAGGGGTTAAAATCCAATCCAGGCTGTAATCACCGCACGGCAATTTGGGCCAAAAAGACAGAAAAAAAAATTCTCATTTGGAAAAGCTCTAAATACTTTTTCTACTGAAAAAAAAATGGACACTTTCTCCTTTTAATGGCCATCTGCACAGGAGAGGGGAAACGGGGCTGGGGTCATCTCCGCTCAGCTGTCAGTGTTATTAGCGTAGGTAATGGAGCAGACGCTGGATTCATAGGGGTGTTGTTTTCATCCATGCCCCGCTCCATGGTGTCAGTTCACACTGATAACTCTATATATAGAGGTGTGCCGTGACATAACTATAGTGCTAAGTGTATGGAACAACAGAACCTGAGCCTGTCTCACCCAGACAACTCCATATTAGCCGCCTTAGTAACACAATAGCCCGACTAAACTGCAGTGCACTCTGCCACCATCCCTGCCTCCTCCCATCGGGACGGGTGCTTGTGTCTTCCTCCTCTGTGAGACTGCCAGCACATTTTGATGCATAGATATTAGACCCACATGATGACGTCTTAGTCCGGGCGTAAAAGCTGTGATGTCCAGCTACTCGACATTTACTAGGATAACGGAGGTAAATGAAAGGGAAGGGGGAGGCCACAGAGTTTTGTGTTGGGGGCCAGCACCAGCCAAGACTGTGAACGGCCCCACGTGTCTTAAGATGGAGGCCGCAGCCTGCTAGGGCCCAGATGGATCAGTACACATTTGCTGTACAGCTGGTCGCTCTGTTTGGGGACCTGGTGCGATGCTCCTATGGAGAAAAAAATGATATCGCCGCCATCCAAGGAGCAATTTAATAGCAGGCCAGAAGACAGCTGGCCACTCTTTAGTTTAGAGTTTTTTGGCATGGCACACTTACAGAATTGAGGGTGTCCGATTTTTCTCCAGAGACACACAGATTTATACAGCTTTCAGCTGCTGCCGTCACTATCAAACCTCTTACTGCCTTTTTTTTTCATTGAGATCACCAAACAAATCTCATCGTTAGATCTGTAGTTACTGCGTAAGAGAACATAATTATAATCATTTATGAAATTGCAGCCCTTTCACAAAGTTGCCTGTTGTTTTGAAAGGATTTTTGAAGGTCTTCCATTGACACAGAAGCCTGTTTGGTTTTATCAGCATGCTATCCTGCCACCCCATTGCTTCACTTTGACCCCACTGTGAACTATGGCATTTGGATCATGGTGGGAGGGGGGGCATGTTTGGCCCATTTATCGCACAGTTTCAACTGCCTGCGTGTAGATTTTCAGAACCCCGACATGTTCTGAAACATGGGCTCTGTCTTAAAGGTTTTAAAAGGTGAAAGGTTTTTTTTTTTTCGTTCATATTTGCTGTCAATCCAATTCCTCTTCTGCTTCTGTCCATTCCAAACTTCCGCTGCCAATGTGGCAGTGCTCAAAAGGACAATTGTAAACAAGCAAACAAAATTACATGGACAAAAAAGTGTTTTGGGGTCACCTCTATGGATTTTTTGGGCTTGTGACAACACTGAGCTCCAAGCCAAGTCAGGGAGGAGTCCTCTCTCACAGAGACGAGCCTGGTAGCCTGGTCGGGCTCAGGCAGAGGGGGGCACTGGAGGGGTGGAAAGGTTTGGGGGCGGAGAGGGAAAGGCACATTTGCTGTACAGCTGGCCGCTCTGTGTGAAGCAGGCACTGTGGGCCGTTATAGAGCTGGAGAGGAGAGCAAGTGAGAGGCCTTTAGCTCTCCCCTAGTTGCTTCTCCTCTTCTCTTTTCCCCTTCACTCCATTTTACTCTGCCCATTCAGGGCTCACATTTTCATATTAACTTGGCTCTTAAGGACGTACTGTGTTGTCACCTAGTGGAAAACCTGACAGACAGGATAGAATGTAGAACCACAAGCAATTTTGCAAAGAATCAAAAATAGTTTTCCCTGATTTATTCTGATAAGATGTATCTAATGATGTTCCCTCATGGGGCATGTGCACGTGTTAACAAACACGTCCAAACGCTCCTCATTTGACTCTTGGGGGAGGGGGCAGAATCAGAGTCGGAACTCGTGGCACGGGAACAGGAACAGGATCAATCCTCCGAAACAAACAAAAGAACAAGCTCAGAACATACTGTGGAAGAGAGTAAACCATGCATGCAATACTCGGAGAGCTACATCTGCCTGCTTTTATTAATTTGTGATTAATAACACCTTTCTGTTCGTTAGTGCAGTCACCTCCCGTGCAGCCAAGTGTGTTGCTGCTAATATGCAATTATGTGCACCTTACTGCTCGTTACATTATACCTCTCTCTGACTAATGTGATGTCCATGAGGAGAATAGGAAACAGAGTGAGCTGTAAAAAAAGAGCTATCAATAAGACTCTCACATCCACAGTGTTACCTGTCTGTCTGTGAGTGAGAAAAGGAAAAAAAAAAGAAGTTTCTTACAAATTCCTCCATGTAACCAGGAAACTGCATTAAAAGTTTTACAGCATTGCAGAGACTGTTTTGCTCTTTCTGGTGTTTTTGTTGTAAAGCAGGAGTAATTGACATCACCATGGGGATGCTCTGTTGCTAGGCCAGACAAGCTGAGTCTGATGTGGTCCTTATCTATTGATTTTCCTGACATTTCCCCACACCTCACAGACTAGGCCAACATGTGAGAAAATATCTGATGCTCTCAGTTCATACAGCCTGTTTGTACAAACTCTGAGTGAGCACTCTCTGCCCCTCGCTGCATTGCAATGGGCAGGCTGGTGCTGCCATGGTGATTTGGGGCAAGTGCATCACAGAGTGTGGTTGTTGGACTGTGCTCATTCGCTTGGCTTGGTTTTTCAAAGAATGTATCAACCAATATAAGTTCTGCACCAGTGGTTGCCTTTAAATGTATGAAGATCACAAGACTTAAAACTCATCATCACAGGCGCTGTTTTTCTGTTTTTGCATCTTTTTATCGATAAGTGATTTATCTGTTTGGTGAGGATGGTAGTTTATAATAGAGTGATGCTTGGGGTTCAAAGGTCAAACACCTTCAGCATCTGGTTTTGCATTTACAGACACATGCAGAATCATCTTCTGAATTTGAATTTTTATAAATGAATACTTTCACATGGAATAAGGGCTTGACTAATGCATGCTAGTGCTGAAAACTGTTATATATTATTATTCACTAAACAATTGTCACGCAAATGTTATTGACCCTTGGCCCGTAATTGCTCAATTTGATTGTCTTTTTGGCTTGGATTTCTAAATATGTTCCTAGTAATTCAGACAGGTCTTCAGTAACACCAATTTGTATGGATTCAACTCACTTCTTTCATATCGAGGACATTAACAGTACATTTCAAATCCTCATTTACAAGTCTACTTAGGAGCTCGGTCGACCTGAATAAAGGTAGTCTCCGAGCTTGTGTCCATGTTTTATTGATATACAGGAGGGATGTCTCTTTTAAAGTGTTAATGCTCTGCCTTGTTCTGAAGAGGAGCCCATAAATACTGGATGATCAGAATTAACTTTTGCATTACTCCGTCTCCCCACGGTCTCAGAGATGTCACAGAGGCCATAGGTGCACGAGGACCCTTGGTCTGATTGGGTTGCTTAGCAGTCTGGAGGGGGGGGGGGCTTTGGGGAGAAGTGCAAACAGACAGCCCTGCCTTAGTAAAGGTCAGCGC